AACAATTTATGCAACAGTGTTAAAAGTGAACAATTGATAACAGCTAATATTAATATTTATATTATATATTTTTCATAGGAACAAAGAGATGTAGCTGAACGAAACTTAGCAATGCATATTGAAAGTGCTCACAATGTTTTGCCATGTGCATCCATATCTAATAATAAAGTAGATGATCGACGAAGATATCCAAGTTCAGCTCCTGCTTCTATAGCTCCTCCAAATTCAGCTAGCCAGGTTAGTAGCTAACCTATTAGGATTTATTATTACCAAATAACCTAGTTACTTATTTTTGTTATTAGGAGTTATTAGACACACATGACTGGGATAAGAATTCTAGTTCTGTCAGTGAGGTGTCTTTGGCATGCTTACAGGATAGAATTATACAAATGGAAGAAACCCATTATAGGTAAATATTCATTAGGTTATTCATTTATATTTAATTAGTTTATTATTAACTATTGATATATATGTATATTTTAGTACTAATGAAGAATTGCAAGCAACACTGCAAGAATTAGCTGACCTTCAATCACAACTCTACGATCTTCAACACGATAATGAACGTTTGGGTAAAGAGAAAGGTGTATTGTTGGAGTCATTATGTCAACAAACAGAAAAATTAGAAGATGCTCGCACAAAAGTTGATGCATTACAAGGATTATTTCTTGTACCTGGTTCTAATCCTCCATCATCTGTTACTGAACGAGAAGAAAAATTAGTGGAATTGCTTAAAAGTGGGCAGGCAGAACGTGAGGCTTGGTTAACTAAACAAGAAGGGCTCATTTCTGATGCAAACGAATCAAGGCGAACATTAGATAATGAAACAAAAAAAGCCAATCAACTTTTAGAAAGGGTTAGGTTTTTGGAATCTACTGTTGATAGCAAAAGTGCTGAAGTCAAACAGTTTGATGAACAGCTTGCTTTTGCTAAAGAAGAGATATCTTCAAAAAATATTGAAATCAATCGAAATCTCAAGTTATTAGACAATGCTAGAGCAAAGGTATGTTATTATATTTATTTTAAATTAGTATAATATAGTTATATAATTGTGAAATGAAGTTTTATTTTAAAAGTTGTATTTTATATATTAGATTGAAGAATTAGAAGCAGCAAGAGACAAATTAGGTGACAAATCTGAATTAGATGAATTGTTAAATCATGCAAGGCGTGAAAAGGATAATTTAGAAAGTCAGTTAGCATCTATGCAAGAGCGTGTGCAACGAGCATTTTGTGAAATTGATCGGCTTAAAGAACAATTGGCAAATTCTAATGAACAATATACTGTAGCTAGTAACAATGCTAAATCAGCACTTATAGACCTACAATGGCAAAGAGATAAATGGCATGAAGAAGTTGCATCTTTAACATCTGAATTAAAATCAGCTAAAGAAGCAGAATCGGAAGCACAAAGTTTATGTCAGAAATATGTTGAAGAAAAAAGGCAGCTAGCAGATGTTTTATCTGAAACTCAAATGTGTTTAGCTAATGTTCGCAAGGCCCTTGAAGAAGAAAAATCTGAAATGCGTTCTGAAGTAATTAATTTGTTTTTTGTTTCTGTTAATATATTTATTTGATTATGATTTATTTTTCCACTTGTTTTTTATATAGAGAAAAGAATGGCACCAATTCAAAGAAGATTTATTAACAACTGTTCGAGTTGCTAATGATTATAAAGAAATTGTAGAGAAAGATATGGAACAAATCATAACAGAAAATAAAAGACTACGTGAAAAAGTAAAAACATTAGAAGCTCAACTTGATAAATTGAAACGTAAGCAATTAATTTTATCATTGAAATCCACTTATATTCTGTTTGAGCAATATATAACACATTCTTAACTTTCTTCTGCTACAATTTTCCTCAGCTGCCATTCCTATACTGTTGTACTTACAATATTCTTGCTTAAAATTCACTAAATTTTATTTATTTTTCTTGTTTTAAGAGCTATGCTAAATAATTTTTAATAAATAAAGAATATATTCTAATTATTATTTTCAACTGTATAGATATGGATAAGCCTAGAGCTTTATCATGTAGTGCTAATTCCATTCTTAATCCAGTTATTATTGGGCATGAGATAAGTCGCCGTAGTAGTCATTCTAAACTTTCCCGCCAAGATAGCCAACTATCTGTTAAAACATTGATTGAAAGTATTGAAAATGCTACCAAACAAGCAAAAACTGGTATTTTTTGTTTATTATTGTTATTTGGTGTTATGTTCATACTAAATTCAGATTTAATATTGTCATGTTAAAAATCTTATATTTTAATTTTAGCTGAATTTACCAGGAGCAATTCAACATCAAGTTTAAATGGATTAGTGGGCCAAAATGAAAATGAACATTCAAATAAGTTACCAAGAGATGGTGAGTTCAAAGCTCCACTTAGGGAACAAAATTGTCTCTTAGCTGACAATAATACAATGTCTGCTTGTGAAGAAACTGGTAATAGAGTTAAATTTGGTTTTCCTGATTTAATTTAATATGTGCCATAATTTGTGTATATAGATCCAATCAAAAAGTGTCAAAATGATGACTATCGTTCGAATGGATCGATTCTTTCTTCATCACGCAACATAGATACATTTGCTCGTCTTGGTGGAACAATCGAAACACGTAATTTTTTGTTATTAAATAATCATATATTTCTATATTAAATTGTTGTAAAATCTTTTATGCTATAAATTGTTTTTAAAGAAAATAGTTATTTTTTGAGGTGCTACATAAGTATCACCATTGATTATCATTACTATAAGTTGCTAGTAAACTCTGTGCATAATTTTTTGTACCGAAGTGAGTGATGTATAGTATTTATAATCAATGGTATCACTATTACATAATATTATTGATTATATTTAAAAAAATACATTATATCTAGTTTAAAAAAAATAATATATTTATTTATTTTAGCTGAACGTCGTGATCCTCTTCAAGCATTAGTAAAAAATGGTGGTTCAAAACGCAATGCCTTACTTAAATGGTGTCAGAATAGAACTATTGGCTATCCAAACATAGACATAACAAATTTTAGTAGTTCATGGAATGACGGACTAGCCTTATGTGCCTTATTACATACTTATTTACCCGATCAAATTCCATATTCTGAATTAACAACAGCAGAAACAAGACGTAATTTTACTGTTGCATTTGAAGCTGCTGAATCAATTGGTATACCAACAACATTAGTAAGTATTGGTTATTATTTTTTTTCTTGTAAGTGTTTGTCAATCTTCACAGAAATTGTACACTTATTTATCTCAAGAAAAAAAAAATCAAAATTTTACTGTATAAGTGTATTCTTGTATTATTTTAACATTTTCACATTCTAAAAAATATAATGATTAATTTAGTAATTATATTTTTTAAAAGTATACTTGAGTTACAAATGAAGCTCCATATTATTATATAATTTGCATCAGTATATTTGTTAATTAAATACAATTATTGTGAGCAATTACATTTTTTTTTGTATCTTCAAAATTAGAATAAGTATTTATATACCTTTTAATTATTATTTCTAAGCAGTTCAGAATAAAAATAAACATTTTTTCCAAAGGAGATTTAAAATATTTTCAAAATTAATTATTTATAAATAATAATAATAAAAAAATAATATGTTCTTTTAAATAAAAAAAAATGTTTGGTTAGATACAATATTATTATATCAATGAAACTTAACAAATAGGTAATTGAAAACATCTAAATCAAATTTTAATACTTCAATAGGTAATAGGTATTTTATTCATATTATTGCATTATAAATTAGCATTAATTAGTAATTACAAATAATATTCCAATTATCTATAAGATTGCATATGTTTATTTTAGAACATCAATGACATGATATCCCAAGAACGTCCAGACTGGAACTTAGTGATGACATATGTAACTGCCATATATAAACAGTTTGAAACGTAATTGGGTTTATTTTGTTTCAACACAGCATTGCAAGACTGATGGTAAACAAATCCAACAATTTGGTGTGTTCCTAGATCAAGATAACGTGTAAGACTTCTAGATTTTATCTTTTATATTAACTTATGGTTTCTATACTATGTATATCAAATATCAATATTTTTCACCAAAATTATATTTTAATATCAAAACGACTATAAATAAGAATTGTCTAGAAGTTGATCTAGTCAATTAAAAATGTATTATTTATATGTTTAGTAGGTAAGTTATATTTTAAAGTTTTTGTATTTTATATTATCACACTCAAAAAAGTAATATTGTGTATAAAACAAAATTAAAATGTATACATTATTATAATTTGTATAATATGTAATATAAAAATATAAAATATTTTGTAATTATAAAAAAAAAATCTATTTTAGTATCATCACAGTGTTTAGTTTATTTTCTTTTGTGTGTAAGATTACTGCTGGTATACTACAAGTGCTGTACTTGTGTTAAAAGGTCACTAAGTGCATTGACAGTTTTAAAACTTAAATAATTTTTAAGTAAAAACAATACTTTTAGATTCTCAATTCATTGTGAATCATTATGGGAGGAGGAATTCATACTCCCCTTCAAATATCACACTTGATATGACTGAATTATGAAAACATTGAAATTTATAGAATACTGAATAATATAGGTAATATAATGTAATTCCAACTGCCCATGTCTGTAAAGTTAACTACTCTTGTCTTTTATGATGTCAAACTGCCAAAGAAAACGCACTCGCTTTTGTTTAAACATTCTAAACCCTTCAATTTATTACAGAAATAATTGTTATAAATTCGTGTGTCGAAGATATAATAGATGGTAAGTAACAATAAGTCAATAATTATTAATTAAACAACATGCTTACATGCATCTAGAATCTAGATATTAAATTACCATGCCATTGCCCCCTCGCCGTTGGGACTGGGCCAGTCATTGCGTTGTCACATGGGTTCTTAGCTGATCACACACTTGTTGTTCACTGGTAATTCCATTAGGTTGGTACGCCGGCAGAAGTGGCGCTGAAATTCCAATGTTTATCAGTCACCGCGTCAAAGTCCTTGGCCAGTTGACGTGTTACCGTCGCCACTCGCTGTTGTCGTTTGCTTCTTTTCCTGTTGGATCGGTCGACTGAGAGTTTTGTGACCAAATTCAGCACGACATGTCTGCTGTTGCAGGGCCTACTGGTTTTCGTCGACTTCCGGTTGACGAACGACAATAATCATTGCCGTCGTTCTACACAATCATTAAGAAAAGTTGTAACTGTCCAGCAAAAAGAGGAGAGAAACAGTAATGAACACAAAAATATGAACGACAGTAGAAAAATGATAATTAATATTCACTTCGCCCTCGGATTATTATGTGTCACCGCCGCTGCTGTATTGGGCACCGTCTCTGCAGCGGGTGAGTCAGAATTTAATCTTCGACCCTATGTAATATGTATTAAATATGTTTATTGCATGGTCTATTTAATATTATTTGTTTACTCAGAGGTGTGGCGTGAAATCTAGTTTTTTTGATTTAATAATATTTTAAGGTATTGTAGCTCGGAATATTTACGTATTTTTGTTTTATGGTATTTTGGGCAGGGCATCAGTTATATAAAGGGTGGAACGTCGTAAAAACGTCAGAAATCTGAAGTATAACATATACTATTTTCGCTACTGATTTAATAATAGTACATTTTTCGATGTTGACTCAAATGTTTGTTATAAAACCTTGGACAACTCGAACAACTATTCCATAAGTTATTTTTTAACCAATTGATTACATTTCCATATTCCATTTATAATTAGTATTTTACTATTTAGAAACTACTTAGAAATCTTACTTTAAAATCGAAAATAAGACTTAGTAATATAATTAGTTACATAACTATCATTTGTTCTTAATTTAAAATATGATTTGATTTAATTTCCTATAATGTCATTTAAGTATTTACTATTATTTAAACCCGTGGAATTAAATTGTTTGATAATAAGTACTTAACTATTACAATATTGTATGGTAGCCGGTAGGTATCTATAAATTCTGATACAGGTAATGATACCTATCTATCAACTTTTTTCACAAAATACTTGATTAACTTGACAAAGATGAAACAGGGTATGAAACTATTATACTTTATATTATTATGATTAATATGACCTATAGGCCATATGGTCTTTAAAATAATTTTAAAGATGATCAAAAATGCCATTAGGTAGTTTTTATTTTAATTATCAACTGATTTTAACTAGGTACCTACCCATTTGTCATTGTTATGTTTTTCCATGTTGGTAGGTACTTAATAATTAACTCTCTCTAATGTATTAGGTATTTTACTATTTTGTTATATTTAGTTCCAAGGAAAAGGAATTATTAAATAGGTACCTATAGACTTCATAGTGAACACACTGACCAATAGTTACCTTGTGGATGTAACTTTTGAATCTCATTTTGGTTTAAATTGAGAATTATGTAAATGTATTGAAAATTAATTTGATATTCCTGTAGGCACTTACATTTTGTAGTTAATTTTAATCAATTGTTTTCTACAATTACATAAGTACTGTAATTTATTGACAAAAATCACAAAATTGGTCCAGCGGTATGGAGATTTTACTGTATAATGTTCATGATATTATTAGATTTATAGTTTCTATAGGTATTTAAAACTATAAGAATAGAATTTATAGGGATGCTATGTAAACAATATGTATGTAAATGTGTTTTTTTAGATTTTAATGGTTTTCGTTATAGATAGAATATTAAAATTTATTAGGCAAGCAGATGTTTTTCAATGTTATGACTTAGGAATGTTATGGCTTATAGGATACAGTAATGAGTGTGTTACATAATATTGGTAACTATATATGTACTATATTTTAATGCAACAGATAATTCCAATAGTGACCCAATTAATTATATTGTTTAGTGTTTGTTTTGTTTTTTTAAATATTAAGTTTGATAAACTGTGTAAAATACCTAGTGCTTATGTCTTCTTTGAAAAAATGAGTTATGATAAGATTATAAAAATATTGGCATGTTTATTAGTGTCAGTAGTATTGGATAAAAATTTAATAAACAAATTACAAATTTAATCAATAATAGGTGCAAGTTATTTAGTGAAAACCAAACCTGCAAAATACTAAAATTGTAAATGTCTGTGAATTTTATTTAAATTACTTGAGTAATCTATTGTTGAGAAATAATTTTAGTTTCTGGTTGCAAAATGAAACTAGGTTGAGTCAAAACAATTTCCGGTACTTTTCTTAATTTTTGGGAAATAAAACATCGCTAAAATTTGCAACATTTTAAAAATAGTTTGAAAATGTTATATATAGTTATTACTGTTCTAACTACTGGGTAAAATTAGGTTTGACTTATACGATTTATAAAAAAAAAAGTGTGTAATTCCACAAATATTTTTATGAGAATTTGAAGTTAAATCGTGCGTTCATACGTATACGGTATACGTACATAAAATAAAATTAACCATTTTAGTTATTTTGTTGTACTTTAAAAATAATTATAATCCTTTAAAGTTGAAATATTTTACTGTTATTTAAATTATCATTCTCTATGAAATATTTAAAATATTTATATTAATTTTTTGTTTTTTATCATAGTGTTGATACAATGTTTTAGGTTCGATGTTCGATCAAATAATGTTAACATTTAATACTAGATTCACCTAAGTTACTCTTATTGGCGTGTTTCCTAAGGGGGATGCGGGGTATGTAGCTGCATAGTCTACGACTTCAAGTGAGGGCCCATGTTTATCATACCAAAGCAATTTTAATATTTTCTATAGTATTAATAAAATATTTTTTTTAGTTACCACGTGTCTCGCGGACCCGCGTGAAAATCTAAAGTCTAAACGTATCATTAAGTCTTGTTATCACAGCTTACAACGTTTGCAACACGTAGATATTAGTATATTACCTATTATCTATGTTTCAACATGCCAACTATCATATTATAGGCTCAGATAAGAGGGGCTCAGCCCCCCTAAAACACTTGTTTAATACATACACTACATCACGGCCTATGAAAAAAAATGGATATCTATTTTTTCTCGAAATATTATATTTCATAACAAATTCAGATCAGTACCTAATCACGATTACAATATACATCTTACACAAGTTTTTCAAAACTTAAATAAACTTGTTCAAGTAGCCATTACATTACCAGTCAGTTCTTTGCGAGGGATAATTTTCGGCAATAGGAAGGATCAATACATATTTAGTCTACTATATATCAGGAAGTAGGCGTACTTAATGAAGAAAAAGATATTGTTGTAAACATTGAGGATATTTTCTAAACGCATTTTGTAAAACAGAAAGAATAGGTACAACTAATGTAATTAACTTAGTTTAATAATTTCTTGTGATTAAAATATACATATTTAAGTATTGTAAATTGATGATTTTGGTTGTTAGATTCTGTTTTCTGAGCGCAGCGAGGAATATTTTTTTGTAATTTAAGTGTCCAATAAACTTGAGCTTCAGTCTCCTCCCCCCCTCCCCAAATCTCAAACACTATTTACTCCTATGCCAATTATATTATATACTTACAATAATAAATAATTATTGTTTTTATGGTTTATAATCAAAGGCCATATTATGTAACCATATTATATATTCTATTGTAGTAAAACTATGTGTGATTTTGGATTTTGAAGGAAGCAAAGAAGTTGAGAGGTATATAATCAAAAAGATTGTAGACTGTGTTCTATATATCGTGGAAAAAATGTTTAACGGCTCAAAATCGTTTTTTAAAATAAATTATTTAGGTATACTTTCTTTTAAATTCAATCAAATTACGTCGAGTACCTATCCTAGGCGATGTTCGGTGATTTTTTTTAGTAACAGCCAAGGGGCCTTATTTTTCTAACTGCTTAACCTACGAATAAAGTCTGCACACGCCTTTGGTTATTCTTATTAAAATGATTCTCCACAAAAAATTAATACCCATAAGAACTAAAAGTTAAGTAAGTATATTGAGTAATAATTAATATACTCGCTAATATATTAACACTGTAGCGTCCGGAAATTCATGCGTTAGCATGTTTTTACTGATTTCATCAAAAACTTGCGATGTCAGCTACAAATTTAATTTAGGTAAACGTACACATATATAAATCCAAATTCAAAATGTTAATTTGCATATTACGAGGTTTTTATTTATAGATCGTCAAAATAAATAATTTTTTAAAGCCATGTCGGTGACAAAATATACATCGCACGTTTATACACAGGTATATATAAATGGAAAATAATTAAATAATAAATAAAAATAATGTGTCAAATGTATATCATAATATTATATTTTAGCTATGTTTGATGCGGAGCTGACCTTTTCAGTGTTTAAAAACATGTTAACTGATAACCAGAGTTCAGTTACATTTGAAAATTTATCAAAATATTTGATATTAACTATTTAGCTATATTCGAAAAAAAATGTGTATTTATATTATTTTATAATTGTCTACTATTTAAAATTTATGTTTTATTTTCAAACGTATAAAAAATAATATTTTTAATTATTAATCAACTAAAGTCGAATAAAAATTATAATATTAATAGGTTTGTTATTTATCTATACAGTTATGTATAAAAAGAATTTAAGGGTATATTTCAGTGTTTGTAAAAGGACTTCTACCCACATGTGGTGTACTGTTGTCTTCGTCTTACATACTTACGATAAAGCAAATTCTTAATGTTGGTCGAGTACTCGATTTTGGAAAAATTTTCGAATCGAGTTCTAGTACTCAACTCGGATGAAATTATTTGGTACTTGTAAATAATGTAAATACCAGTAGAGCCTGGCGAGAATTGAATCAAGTATTCGTTTCACTGTTTTGTAAAAAAAATCACATCATTGTAAAATCAATACATTCATTGCTAAGCTCAGAATCTAAAATACTATAAATAGTATTTTATTGAAAAATAAATGTTGAAACAAAATAGCCAAAAGAACTGATATTTTGATAATTTGGCTTAGCAGGAATTTTTATAATGGTGATCTTTTTTTTTCTGAAAAGCCCCTGCAAATGTCCCTAGGTTGCTATCTGACCCCTTTGTAGGTTAGGTTATGCCTAGTCATTATTAACAGTAATAAAATAATTTCTATCGTTGTTATCGACGTTGACTAATTTCTTAGAAGGCCAATCTCTTATTTATTATTTGTCAGTTTAAGTACTTTAAGAGGACGTTATAATTTCATTAAATCATGTTAGCCGTTCATGTTATAGTTTTGAACGCGATGTTGAAGGTACGACATTTTGCAAGTTAAATGTGATTAAAATGCGTAAAAGAATAATTCCAAAAGTTGGCTAATTGGTTTTAAGTCTTAAATTTTTATTAATTAACAAACTGCTCGTAACTAGGTACCTAATTAGATTTTTGTATAGGTTTTGAAAATTTCAGAAAAATAGTTTGAATTTTGATTGGAATTATCAAATTAATTATTTATTGCGCATTAAAAAAAAACTTAAAAACGAAAAAAGATAAAAAGTATAATCTGTAAAATGTTGTTTTATAATGACCTTAAATTATGTATCAAAAATATTTCGAAAAGCATTATTATTTTTTGATAAAATGAGCGTTTATTTTTAAAAGTATAATTTTATTTAAGTAGTAAAATACAGACTACATTATTATTATTGTTATTTATTTTTATTATTCCTTGATAGCTAGAATTAATGTATACAATAGTTTATAATAAGTATATTGATTAGCATTGATTATAATTTATAATTTATTGCTATATAATCAATTATAATAGTTAGAAAAAAATGTCATTAGGGATTCATGCCGGATATAGATAATACTATCATATCAACTTCTGGCAAGTACGAAAAAAATATTTTACACATAAACGATGGTATTTTTGTTATTTTAAATATTTTAAAATAGGACAGTTTATTTGTTTTTTGAAGAGTAGAACTAAAAAAAGCTAAAAAACTATCTATAGTGAGGTGGATAGATTAGTTTGTTTTTTTTACATTTTTAAATATTATTCGTATTATAGAGAACATATTTAATTTCTCTTATCCCTGTTAAAAAATATTTATAAATATCATTATATATGTATATAATAATTTTACCATGCCATAAATCGTTTATAATTTTGTCAATGAATAACATTCACCTAACGGAAAAATTAATACACGTGTATGGGGTATAATTATTTATTGTTGACTTTATTCAATGACATTTTCAAAATATTTAGATAAACGTTAATCTATATATTCCATGGACCTATTCTCACCGTTCTACAGTACGCCGGAGCCCGGAATTATAATTCATTAGCAGATAGTAAATAATAATATTATATATTATTGTGAAATAAATAATAATAATATAGGTAATAAATAATAATAACTATTAATTATTGAATTTTTCAACAATCATACTAGAATTTTATGAATTTTTTTTGTATCCGTAGGTTTGCAGATATTATTAAATCATCTAAATTTAACTTTGAGGAATTAATTAACCTCAATTATACGTACCTAAATGTTAGTTCATTTATTAAGAAAAGATTAAAACTAATTAACACAATTTTTTATAATATTAATAATTTCTATTATTTATTTGGATAAACAAATTTCTAATAACTATTTAATAAATTGTTCAAAATTTAGCCCATAATTCTTCATGCATGATTGAAATCGACGAATCACTTCTCTTTGAGTAGCTTCTAACATCTGTTCCTTTTTAAGTTCTGCACAAGCATTTACAATTTTATTATATATTATATAATTAATTCCTCAAAGTTAAATTTAAATGATTTAACAATATCTGCAAACCTACGGATACAAAAAAAATTCATAAAATTCTTGTATGATTGTTGAAAAATTCAATAATTTTAATCGAAACTTTGACTCGTTGCCATTTAGTCAATTTTGATTTTAGAGCTATGGTAAAAAGGACCAAATCGACTTAAAATAATTCGGTCTATCCAAATTTGGTGATAAAAACACCGGTTGCCATTTAAAAAAAATGCAAGTTGTATTGCGCATGCGCACACGGAAAGATCTAAAAATGTAAAAATCATCAATAAATGTGTATTTATGTATTCCCTATCCCCTTCAGAAAACCGCATATTAATCCGATGTCACTAGACAGAATTATTTAGTGTTACCTTTAAAAGGAATCACACTGTATATATAATATTATTCACATGTCTCTTGGAAAATATAAACATGATCACGCTTTCACAAATGCATTCTTTCTGAACATTGCATATTGTGATAGTTTAACTAAATATTTTTGTTTTTAATTTTTTTCAGATATACATATATGGCCAGATGTTCCTGAACTTACCCTGACATCAGGGGCTGATCTCACACTTAAATGTACAGGAGATGTACCTGTAAAATGGAATCAAAATCAATATGATTCAACGTTACTAATAGAAAAAGTAAGGATTAATACTCAATTTCGATAATGGTTGTGCTTGTTATATAAAGTAATGAACATATCATATTTATCCTAAATAGGTTTTTTCAAAATTCCACAATATACAATTGTGTTTATTTTAAGTTATAATTTGTTTTAATATAATATAACATTTATTTGTTTTGTTAATAAATGAACCCAGTGGTATAACTGTGTAAAAAACTAGAGGGGGCAAAACAATTTACCAACTAAAATCAAAACCCTGAGCCCTCCCCCTTGCCCCTCATAATTACACCACTGAATGAATTATTATCTACTAAAATATTGCATTGCACATTATACCTATTTAATTATTTTATCATTATTCAATACCTATTTAAATTAATTGTTTTATATTTTACAATTTGAATAGAATTCCTCAATCGACATTTCACAAGGACTGGCTAATAATAGTTATATATCTCTACTATCACTTAGTAGAGCAAGTTATTTAGATACTGGATACTACTACTGTGATCCATTGTCTGAAGACTTGGGAGTAGATGAACAAAATTCAGCAAAAATATATATATTTGTTCAGCGTAAGTATTTTAAATTAAAATTAAAAAACATTAGTAGGTTTAGATAATATTGTTTTTTAAACCTTTATTTTTTAAGGTGACAATGTGGTGGTATACCATTTTAATTGAATTAATCTTGTTTCCCATACTTAGACTCGACTACATGAATTAGTTATTTTATGTATATATCTTAAGACCTAATGATTACTTATGTTATATTTAAATTTCATTTTTTGTTTATGTAAAAAATAGTGAAATTAAAAAAATTACATTTTTATAAATTATTGTTGTTGGTGTTTAAACTTCACTCTAAATTAATTAAATAAATGTTGTTTATAATGTTTAGATGATACACATTTATTAGCGGTTCCTGAAAATTTAGTTTTACTATCTCAGGATGAATTTGGTAATGTTATTATACCTTGTCGGCCAACATCACCAGATATAAACATAACACTAACAAAAGACGAAGAAGAGGTAAGGTTTTAATCATGGCTATTCAATATATTTTTGAACAAAGTATATAGTGATTGTTTACTACAAAAATCAATTGGTTAAGAACAAATTATTTCAATTTTATTATTAACTATAACCAGTGGTGTAGCTAGATGGGAATGGGTACCAGGGCAGTAAGTAAACTAGGCCCTATAATTAATATTCTTTCTTCTTCCGTGACTTCGGCCTTTAAGATCATGTCATTCAATACAATTGTCTCCAGATTTCTTATCCAATGATAACTCCTTTCAATCATTCCCTGGTCTCACTTTCTCTACACCTTTTTTACTCTATATTCCCATCTTAGTCTCGGTTTTCCAAGTGATCGTTTCCCTTGTGGTGCATTATCCTGCACTATTCTCAACAGAGACCCTTTTTTACGTCAAGAGTGACCTTTCCACTTAAACCTTATTTAGATGATATCTTCTGTGATGCTTTGATACAGTTTCCAGAGTTTGTTATTTTAACATATTCACTATTCACCTGTACATTCATCTTTGCATGGTACCATAGATTTTCCTCAGTACCTTCCTTTCAAACACTGATAAAGCATTTTTATCCATTTTCTTCAAGGTCCAAGTTTCTGATACACATGCCACAACTGGCTTGATAAGTGTCTAGTATTTTTGGGACTTAAGATTTCTTGAAAATAATCCAGATTCAAGATTGTAATAACTTTGTTAAGCTAAAGTAATATTAATTTCAGATTACTTTTATTATCTTTATTAAAACTCAAAATGTATACCTAATTTTGTTCTTTCAAATGTGAATACCTTATACTTACTATGAAACCATAAATTAAAATAATGAACAGATAATTAATAAATATCTGAAGTAAAAAAGCAATAAGATAAAAATTATAACTATCAGCTTGTAATTATTATTTTTCATTATTATTAGATAGTAAATTATGTATTAGATTTATCATATTTTATCAATACATACCCAATACAATTTATAATTTTTTATGAGCTTTAATATTAGCAAATTGATCCATCACTTCACTCAAATCCGATTTTAAAGCAGTTGTTTTCAATTGCAATAAATGGTAAATATTTGAGTTGATCATAACCGATACTATTTCTTAGATAATTGTTGATAATTTTCAGTTTACTGAAGGATCTTTCAGTTTCAGCAGAAGTTACAGAGATAGTAAAAAATAATGACATTGCCTAGAACATTTCTGTTATATCGCATTCATGCACTCTATATTATACATTATTGTGTGTATTATACTATTGATATTCTATTTTCTGTTCGTCTGATTGTGACTGGTTATTTTGTCCTATGATAGCTATGCTACTGGATGTAGTTGTAGAATACTAGTGGATATAAAATCACTTTTATAATTTATCATCTGTTCTAAAAACACATTTTTATTAATAATATTAAATTTAATAAAAAAAACTTGGGCAAATAAAAACTAATCACTAACTTATATTTAGTTTATCGAAATAAACATTTGTATTGACTAGGAAATAGGAATTGGGTTAACTTATTAAAATTATTTTTATCATAACTTTATAATAATATTTCTAGACTCTATAGTATGCAATCATTGTTAAAAATAAATGAATGAAGAACTTTTTGAACCATACTACTGAGTTCTGACTATACACTCTTGTTGACAAAAAAACTACATATTTTGTTTTTATGAATTAATAAACCAGTGCTTTTTTTTATAACCTGCTTTTCTTTAATACTTGCCCTCTTAGGTACTGGGCAAAGAATTTAAATTTAATTTTACTGCTATGAATAATTTAAAGGAATGAAAAATGTGTATATGTTATTAGCTGTTAATTAATTATTTTTATGATTTTAATTAAATAGCGTAAAACAATTTTACTAATAAATCATTAATTGTGCTGGGTTTTTATATAATATTTGTTGGATACTGAATTTAACTGCACTTTTAGTTGATCATATTTATTAGCTTTTATACAATGTTATAATTAATTAATTTTTGTATGTACTAACATTTTGATATTATTTGCTGTGTTTTGGATGTGAATGCTTAAATTTTCTTTCAATTTAGTTGGTGCCTGGTAACACATATGATGGCATGGAATTGCATTATGACCCAAAGCTTGGATTCTTACTCTATTCAGTGACAATGTTTAGTTCGGGAATATATTCTTGTAATGCTGAGTACTATGACAAAAAAAGTCGTGCAACTTACCATATTGTTATTATGTGTAAGGATATTTTAGTCTTGTTTTGTATCTATTTAATTTTTTTAATTTGCTTAACTGCGTTTGGCTTCAGAGTGTATTTTACATACAAAATTGTTGTGTATGTAACTTTAAAAAAAGAAAAAAAATTATATTCATATTTCAGATTACTGAGACTTTAGAGTATGATCCAAAAATAGGATATACACTTAGGTCACCTTCAGTTCAAGATTCTGGTGTATTCTATTGTGAGGCAAAAAGAAATAACACCAATGAATTACGAGAATTAACTGTTCACATTAATCGTGAGTTAGTATTGTTACTTACATGGTGATTGGTTATTGAATGTAGGTTATATATAATTTAAAGATATAATTCACAATTTAATAGGCAAAATTCGCTAGTTTGTTATCTAAATTTAGGTTGACTTGATTTATAAAAAAGTCTATATATAATTTATGCTATACATTTTTATTTAATACCTTTTAAGATAAATATATTTTTTTTATAAAATAAACTACAAGTTTCAACAGTTCTTTTTGGTTCCAGACTAAATTATAACACTCAACAATTATTTTTGTTAATGCGGGTAAAAATTCTCTACTTCTACATTATAAGCTGGAATAGCAAGAATATTTTGACAAATATAGGGTAATTCAGAGTACTGTTCACTACAGTCACAATTTTTCAAGTTTTCTATCCACCTCTCATATAAACTAAATTAAATTTTCTTTATTTAGAATTAGTTGATTATTTATGTGGTACTGTCATGTCTCAGTTGTATTTGTAATTTATTGAGTTTTAATTTTAAGTTATATTATTATAACATTATAATACATATTTGATTTCTGAAAAATCAAGAAATAGTTTATTTGTTTATTTATTTACTTTTAATGTTTAATTCAATTTTAATTATTTAGAACTATAATTTACATAAGTTTTATTATTGTAATGAGGTATGTTATGGTTTATGAGTTTTTGACTAATGAGGTTCAGGTTATTATTTGAAATTACAATTTTAAATATATTTTAATCATTAATAAATATTTTTAGTATTTGACAGGCTTTTTGCATTTAAACGGCTTTAATTTTATATCAATTGCATATTGAAAATATTTCATTTTTAAATGTAAACGTGATTTATAATTATAATTTTCAGCTAAGGTGCATAAAGTAGTTATGCCTTATATCAATAGCAGTGATGCACATACAGATCATTTAATTATTGGTCAAAATTTAACCCTAAATTGTTCTGTAAGCATGGATCTTGGTATTTCTTTCACATTACATTGGAAAGTTCCTAATGAACAGAAGCTTCAGGTTTGATATTTATCTGACAAATTTATTAATGATATTACATTTTTTATTAATTGTTAAGGCTTAAGCGTTAAGCCTATAAGCCTTATAAGCTATAATAGTCAAATACTAATAGCTTAAAAAAAATTATTATTACATGTTTGATTTTTTTTTAAGACTGGACATGTGTTAGTTGGCAAAGAAAATTTCTATAATGGTTTGAAACATGGAATTGGGAAAAGTGTTGGTAGTCGATTATTGAGTATTAAAAACATAACTTCCGAAGATGAAGGAGATTATGTTTGTGAAGTAACGGTACATTCTGGACATAAAAACCGTGCTACATACAAACTTAAGGCATTCAGTAAGTCTTACAGATATTTTATAACTAAATTATTTCATATTTAAATATATATTTGCAGCACCTGATATGACATATTTAAGTTTATCAGTCCAAGGTAATGTTTATGTAATAACACGTAAGGCAGGAACTCGGCGGGTGCAATGGATAATTCAAGTATCAGCGTACCCAAAACCATCTCTTGTATGGTAATAAAAAAAACAATTAAACAAATAATTCAAACTATTACTAATGTAAAGCTTGTAATTATTGTATATTATATTTTGTGTCTTTAGGAGAGACCCTAATGGTAAAGAATTAGGGATGAATCCAGAAAAAGTATCAGTGGAAAATGACAAAAGTACATCCAAATTAGTAATAAAAGATTTACAACTGTATGATTCTGGTACATATGAATTAGTTGCAGATAATGATGCACATGTGAAACAAATTACTGTAACTTTGCTAGTTGAAGGTAGTTGATGATACTAAAATTGTTGGATGTAGTGGTTTTATATTTTGTTTAAAATTTTTCAGACAAACCATTAGTTCAAATAACTAATAGTTCTAACTTAAAGGTATTTTATGAACTAGGAAAAATATATAGTGTTGAATGTTATATTGGTGGTTATCCTTTGCCAGAAGTTGAGTGGGCTTTTAAAAAGTGCCCAAATTATCCTGAATGCGAAGAATCATTTACCCAGATTCCTGTAAATTTGTTTGTTGATACCTATTTTCCTAACAAATTAATAAATAATGTGTAAAATAATATTTTAAATTCGCAGAGAAGCATGTATAAAGAAACTGTGTTTAAAGAAACATTCCTTATATCATTAGTGAATATTACTGCTATTGAAACTGGAATACTTTTTTGTAACGCTACAAATGAATTTGGAAATAATAATCATGAATCTACGTTTTTTGTAACTGGTAAGATCATAATTTTATTAACATTCTGTACTTAACACTAAGTTTAAATATATAATATACTAGCTGCCCGTCACTGTTGTCTGTACCAAAGATAAGTTTTTTTTTATAAATATATTTGTGAAAAAAATGTTGTGTTTTCGATTGATGCGATCACTAGCAAACAGCTTTTCATTTGTATTATATTATAGAATAGAATATATAATTATAAATATATTATGACAATATAGCAACTGCACGGTGTCAGAATCGATAACAATGTATGTGTGTACAATATATTATTATATAAAAAGAAGGAAACTATTGAAATTGAAAGCCACAGATAATACAGATGTCAATAGATTATAGATTAACTTACACTACCATCTATTAGTAGCTTAAAAATGTATAAATAGATACTCTTTGTCTGTGTCCTATAAAGTATTCCTAAGTTTGCATTTAAAATTAATAAAGGGTCGCTTATCGAGAAAACAACTATCCTATCTATCAAGTTGGACCAAGCGAGAGGCATTTACAAAATTTCATTAAAATCTGTCTTGTGAATTAAGATTAGCTTGAATGAACATTGTGATACATAATTTGTATATACATAAGATATTATATTACATTGATATGAATTATGATTATAATCTTTAGTTTAATATTTTACAAAACAAAAAAATAAGAAATAAGAAAAAAAAAATTAGTTTTCTAATTTCAATTACAAACATTATTATGTTATACTAACAATGATATAATATTATTATAGATGTATCAAATGGGTTGGGGATCAAAGGACCACCAATTGTTGTTGATGGCGACGATATAACAATTGAATGTGGGGCTTCTAAATATAATTATAATGAAAATATTAAATGGATCTATCGTGATTTAAATAATATAGAAAGTCCAGTGAATAACGATAAAAGTAAGCATATTTATTTCAGTGCAAAAAAAATTAATTGTTATTCAAACTGTGTTTTATTGATATTTTATTTATTTATTTAAAGTATACACAAATTTTATTTTTGTTAAATAAAAATAATAGATTTCTGGTTTAAAATTTTTCTAAATTATTTGTGATGTGTGTGTTTAGATGTCATCTTAACAAATAATAAAACAGCACTTTCGTATCGTTCGTATTTAATGATAAAAAATATCACAAATACATTTGATGGCGAATATTTGTGTATGGTGCCCGAATCGTACGAGAAGAATTCAGCAACAATATTGTATTCTGTATTAGTCCAGAGTAAATATTTTTCTAAAATCAAAATAATATTATAGTTTATATTTTATAACTTTGTTTTTATATAATACAAAGTTGATTGTTAAAATAAAATTACAGAATCAAAAATACCAGTTATTAGTGAATTATCAAATTCAAGTATTTCGAAAGTAAAAACTGGTAAACCAGCCCAATTTAATTGTTATATTAAAGAAGGCATGCCACCACCTACTGTTACATGGTTTAAAGTGAGTATTATTGTTTGTTAAAAATAATATAATCTATCATAACAATTTTATTTTAACTTATAGAATGGTCAAATATTAAGGTTAAATAAAAATGATAGTAATAGGCTCGAATTGCGGGATAAAAATCAAACACTTGTAATACGATTTACTGCATTAGAAGATGAAGGCTATTATGTATGCAATATTTCAAATAAAGTTGGCAGTGCTATTTCAACAAATACATTGTATCTTATTGGTATGATTTTAAAATATAATATATATACATAGTATTAAAAATAAAAGGTTCTTATTATATTTGATAACTTATTTAATATTTTTATAAAAATGTGTTGTTTTATAGATAAACCTTTAGAGCATGAACATTTTAGTCTCATCGCATTTTGTTCTGTGTTAACTATTCTTTTGGGAGTTCTTATGATATGCTGTGCTGTACATTTAAAGAGAGAAAAGGTAATTACTAACTATCAATTGTTATATTTTTAATCAAACATAAATAATATAATAGTATATTTTTAAACTACATTCAATATTTATACAAACATTTCTACTGTAGAAGTTAAAAAAAGAATTAGCTCTAGCTGGTCTTTTACATTTTGAGAATGGTGCTGTTGAAAGTTGGAATCCTGATTTGGGAATTGAAGAACAGGCAGAACTACTTCCTTACGATAAACGCTGGGAGTTTCCTAGGGATAAACTAAAACTTGGTAAGCAATTTAATAAATTTGAATTATAATATTTTATTTAATGAAGGAATAGATATTGATAGTATGCATTTACTATTATATTTAAATCTATATAAAATTATAAATATTTATATTATTATTTTATTCTCAGGTAAGCAATTAGGTTCGGGAGCATTTGGAGTTGTCTTTAAAGCTGATGCAATTGGTATAATTGATAAAGATACCACTACAACTGTTGCGGTAAAAATGATTAAACCAAACACAGATCCGTCATACATCAAAGCCTTAGCTTCTGAATTGAAGATTATGATACATCTTGGTAGGCATTTAAACGTAGTCAACTTACTTGGAGCTTACACTGGAAACATAAACAAAAGTAATGATACTTTAAATATTGTTGGTTGACTCAATTGTCTTATCAAATTATTAACTATATTATATACTTTAGGAGAATTGATGGTAATTGTAGAGTATTGCCGTTTTGGAAATATCCATCAATACATGTTGAAACAGAGGGACTGTTTTGTGAACCAAATTTCAACAGATGGCTATTTAGATTACAATATTAAAACAATATCTAAGTAATTTGAACTTGAAATTAGCATTTTTAACCCATCAATGTAGTTATTTAATAATAATTTTTAACTGTTTTTTGTTAATTAGAAATCCATACTATGTAAATGTTCCTAACAATACCAATTTATCTGAAAAATGTGATGATAGTAGTACACAAATTGGTTCTGATGGATATTTGGTACCTGATGAAGTTGAACCCGAGTGGCGGAGCAACTATCGTGGAGATTATAAAAATTTAATTGTTAAACCATCATGTACCCATGACTTAATATGTTGGTCATTTCAAGTAGCACGGGGAATGGAATATCTTGCTAGTAGAAAAGTATATACCTGAAATAAGAAATTTATAAATATTGAATAGTTAATGTTTAACATTTTTTTGCAAGATTCTACATGGCGATTTAGCAACAAGAAATATTCTATTGGCTGAAGAAAATATTGTTAAAATATGTGATTTTGGATTTGCAAAAACTATGTACAATAGTGAAAACTACAAAAAGAAGTCTGATAAGGTACCTATTAAACTATACATACTATACTCAATTCCACTAGAGAAAGATTGCACATGTCCCATCACAGTGCCATATACCGGCTGTTATGTGAAGTTGATTTCACAGCTCAGTAATCATTCAATATACCCAAAATGGCACCTTTCTCTTGTGGTTAGGAGTACAGATATTTTTTTCATTATGTTTTTCCAGTATTTTCAATACCTAGTTATTTTTAATTTGCAGGATCTTTTGCCAGTAAAATGGATGGCAATTGAATCTCTCCGTGATCGGGTTTTTTCAACACAATCTGATGTTTGGGCATTTGGTATTGTTCTGTGGGAAATATTCTCATTAGCAGTTACTCCATATCCAAGTAAATATATTTTAATTAATTAATTTTTTATGATGCCATTTAAACATATGGTGAAAAATTAAATCTGTCAATATTTTGTTTACTTTATTAGATATTCAAAAATTTAATGACCTATTCAATAAACTGGTTGAAGGTTATCGAATGGAACAGCCAAAATATGCCAATTCTGAAATGTAATTTAAAAAAAAAAAAACTGTTTTCAATTAAAGTTGTCAATAGTTATACTATTTTAAAGTTTATTAATTTTTTTTTTATGTTTAGATATAATATAATGTTAGATTGTTGGAAAATGAACCCTATGACAAGGCCTTCATTCACTGATTTAGCTGAACGTCTGGGCGATTTATTACAAGATGGTACTAAATCAGTAAGTTACAAATAATAATATATCTTATAAATAATGTATACATATATATATTAAAAACTTAAATGGTATTAATATTTCACTTATAGCATTATATGAATTTAAATGAGGTATATATGAGAATGAATACAGAGGGATCAGTTTCAACTGATTACTTAAGTCTTTTAACGGCACCAACATATTTGAATTGTTCAACCGTATCTGAAAACAATTTAAATTCATGTCTAAACAGTTCTGAACATTCAGATAACAAAGATGATTTGGAATTGAGGCCTATGTTGCATAATCCAGGTTAGTTGAATTACCTATAATAATTTTTTATATAATTTTATTTGTTGAATGTTAATTATTAGTTGAATAGCTCTTAACTGCTTTGTAGACTTAACATTAGTATTTATGGTTGATGTTATTTAATACTTTTATCAAACTGTATTTTATTGTGTTATATAATTTTTAGTTGAGTGTTCTGGTTACATAAACCTAACAAAACCATCGTCTTTTTCTAATCCCAATTATGATGTTGTTGATAAATCCAAAAATTATTCGTACTTACAATCACCGTGTCCAAGGTACACATTTCATTTTTTGCTCATTAAAGTACATGCATTTTTTGCTTTTTATTAACTTATTAACTCTTTAAGTGCTTATTACTGAGGATGCTCATGTGAATTTGTAACCTTTGTCTAGCATGTTATGCTTACTTTAGATATAAAATTATACTTTTCTTATACTCTGTCTTATATAAGAGTAATCTTAGACGCGATGGGTATGGCAAACATGTACCAAGTACAGCGGTCATAGAAATTTCACTTGTTATTCCAATAACCAACTACCTTACATTTTTCTAAGATTAACACGATAAACCAATTATTGGAAATGAAAATCAACAAACAATGATTTAATTGAGGGATTGACCAAAACAGACAAAAAGTGATTGCCACCCAAAGTTTCTCTTAGATGTGATAGAGTATAGGATGAATAAAGTAAAAGACTTATGGTGAAGAATATTAGTTACATAATTGATTATCAAATATAGATATGAGTACTCTATTAAAGTGTCTTAATGTTGAATTCCTTTTTATATCTAATGTTTACTATGTATAAGAAAATAAGTAAATAATATAAATATCTCACTTACAAAATGGAAGTATTCAAATAAACTTTGACACAAATGTACTGTCAATGTAAAGTGTAAACTAATACTAATACTCTTCTATAGATTTGGTTATAGATTAATTAAATCTAATATTTACTAAAAGTTCTTTAAAATGTAAATTTTTAATATAATTCATAAAATAAATAATTATACCAAATCTATGTGTTTTTCTTAATTTTTTAATAATTTTTACATATTATATTATGTTGCAATATTCCTGTAACATCCTAAAGATTTCCATGAAAAAATAATATTTCTTAATTTGGATTTTTAAGAGTAATCTATAAGCAATTTCAATTTGATGACAATTTAAAAAAATGTTTTTAAAATTTTCAAAATAGTTCTCTTCTAGTCAAAAAAAAAAAAAAATGATTGTAAATGTATAAAAATTAACTATGTTACAGTTTTAATTTTCTGGACATTTATGATTATGTTATAAAAATACAAAAACAAATTGCATTTTTCACAATCAGCTATGATTTTAATGCTAACTTTTTTCTGTATAAAATTGCTAAAAATACCTATGAATATACCCACTTTTAATAAAGCAAAAACTAATATCGTTTTAATTGTACACACAATTTAATTTTGAATTACCACGTAAAATTAATATATATTCTTACTTAGAATCTTAAATGGTAGGGATTTAATGCAATATTAACATATTAACATTGATAGAATCAACTAACTAAATAATCTGATATTGACTATTTATTTTTAGTTATGTTTGATGGAACCAGAAACCCTTAAAGATTACAATTTTGCCACGGTTAAATTATTTAATGGCATTGTTACCGTTTCTGTTTTAATTTATTATTATGTAATGACAAATGACTGATGAACAAACATATTTTTTTGAATATATCAATATCATTTTGATTTGATGATATTGTATCTAAGTATTATGAAGACTTGAGATTAAATATATATTGTATATATAGTATATACATATTGTTAATGAAAAATAATTAAGTAATTTCAAGATTTAAATTACATATCATTTATTATTATATATTTTTAATATTTATTAATGCCCAAAAAAACTTCACTAAATGAATATTAAGTTTATAATTATCTGACATGATCATGCATCACTTATACATTTTAATTTTGGATTAATTAACTAATGTATATTTTATTTATATTTTATAAGATAAATTGTATGTTGTAAGTAACTAGAATAACACTATGGATTGACTTGCTAGGCTTATTTAAGTTGATGATTGCTGAAATATTGCTAATGTATTTACACTATATATTTTATACAAAAAATGTGTACATTATTGAAATTAATATTTTGTTAATTATTTTTTCACAAATTATATGTCTTGCATTTGGTAATACCACAACTGAGGCACAGTTAGATAGGTACTGTTTAGATTATTATTTATTCAAATATGTGTAAAGACATCAACACTCTTAAAGGACGGGTGTATTTTAGTTGATTATTTTTAAATTTGGTTTTGTTTTCATGTAACTTATCTTCTTTTAAGTTAATATTGTATTCCATTTACTTGAGTAATTTCTGCCATCATCAATTTGTTAAGAATTTTGTATATAACTAGTCAATACCAAATAAAATAATAATTCATTTTGAACTATTTTGTATCAAATAAAATTATTTTTGAAAACAATTATACTATTCCATCCATTTAATTGTATTATTTTTATGTAACAGATGTATTGTATTTTATTGTTATTTTTAAAAATCATTATTGTTTATTCAAATTATTTATATTTTTGTTTTTATTGGTTGATTCATATAATGTATTCTTATTTAAAACCTATCAATATGTATACTATTTTTTGTAACAAACATGTTTTTACTACCTACATCTATAATAAATTTCTCAACTTACCAAACACAAGTACGATTCTTGCACCTCTCACTATGTTGCTAATGTTTGAAATATATCTAGACAAAAAATACTTTTGAATTGTAATTAAAAAAAATACATTTTCATTGAATAAATACAAGATATAAAATATAATAGATTTCAATAAGTAAATACAAAATACATTTGATGTATTCAAAGACATGTTCAAGTTTAGAAACTTAGGTAACTTTAGTAACTAGGTAAGATCTGTTTGAGACGTAGACCTTATACTGAATATATTTGAGATGGTTCGAGATTGTTGTTTATTTCCTATCTCTGTAGAAAGTTTAATAAAATTGTAGTCATCTTCTACCACATTACAACTTAATTCATTATATGTCAATGAACTAAATTTTTCTGAAGAGTTGACATATAAGTTTTGAATACTTTGTTTTTCATTATCAATTATTGAACTTGGTAACCATCTTAATTTGGATGACGGATGATAAATAGGTTTCTAATAGCCTCATTTATTTCTAGGTTTAATTGAAAAAATTCTAGAAATCTTGTTTTTCTAACAAATTAATTTATGGAAGGGTAAGGGTCCACTTATAAACCTGGAATGTAAAACTTGGACGTTTCAATTCTAGACGGTATAATCCTGGAATTTAATAATTAAAAATCAGTAATATTCTGGAACGTAAAAGTCTGGACGACGTAAAAACTGGATTTAATATTATCATAGAAACCTCATTCATTATGTTAATTATTTAAACATAATTTTAAACATATAAAGTGTACAATTATATATAAGCTTATATAAAATTGAGTAATTTTTTTTTAAATACTTATATAGTAGGCAGTGGTGTAGGCAAGATTTTTTTTTGGGGGGGGGGGGATGTTATTTTGTTAGAAAATGTAACTTGCGAAGGATTTCACACTCCCCACAATGTAGCCATACATTGTTTTAATAAATTACAATATGCTTTTAAGTTTTAACTTCCAAATATTTATTCAAAATAAATTGTTATACTTTTTCAAAAATAAAATAATGCAAATATTAACAATAGTATTTATATCAGTGTTATGCGGCCACTCTTTCTAGCCATATTTTCTACGACCTCTTCAACAGATACTACGCTATGTCACTGTAAATGTTCAATAATGTTACCCCGTTAAGTCAATTTTCAACTATTGTAGGAATGTATAATTCCTCAGACACGTTTTCAACCGCTTAAGTATCGAAAATGATCTTTCACTAGTGTTAATAGTAACTGGTAAAGAAGCTCAAATAATTAAAATTCGTATACTGAACTACCTATATATGTTTTCATCAAATTCAGCTAAAGCAGTTTTAACATTTTTTTGTGGGTTTTGTTTTTATTTGTTCTTTCCGTTATGTAAATTCCCTCAAAGCCGAATAGTCATCAGCTTTATTACTTCAATGTCAATTAGGTACGTAGAGTTAGATCAATGTTAAATCAAAAGTGATTTGAAACACTCATCACCATTTTCTTTGTATTCTTAACAGAATACTTTTTACCATGACCAAATGATGAAGTGATATTGTGTTAAACACCGTTCATCGTTGTGTACTGAATACGAAAAAATTCTCAATTACCTACGTACTCATCTATCACAGGATGAATTTCCAACCTATAAATATGCTGCTCGCATAATCACACGCGTGTCTCACCTGGAATGCTGGACGTGATGGCTTTAATGTAGGATTATAATATAATTGAACGTATCCTATCAACGTAGAGCCCAAATAATGGTAGGTTAAAGCTTGTCATTTTCGTGGTAAGTACCTATGTAAATGTGCACTAAAGAAGCATTAAAGATGATCGATAATTTTTTTTATGTTTTGATTACTATTACACTGAATATTAAATAACGAATTGAACTAAGTTTAAATCATATGATGGAGTTGGCATTTTTAACAGGTGACCGTAGTCCTTAAATCCTTGGCATGGACAATGCCGAGCTGGACAGTTAGGTTTATAATAATAATTTTAAACTATATTTATTGTTTAATGGATTTTGAAGTTAAATATTGAACGGTGTTATTATATTTAAACATTTAGCTTTGAAAGAGTTTTCTATAGGCAATTTTTCAAATTCAATATTAGGTTTACTTCGAATACATCTGCAGATATAAAAATTGTATACTCTTGAAAAAGGTTTAAACGAAGACGTGTAGAAATGTCTTCCTTGATATTTTCGGAACAAAAACTTGAATTTTTTTTATTTCGATTTCGGAAAATTTACAGGACACTTTAAATCCTTCAATATTAGTAGTATCTATCTTTAAAAAACCTTCAAGAATCATAACAGATACGCTTTAGAATAGGTATCAGCTGGTAAAAGTTTTTAATTCAATAAATTTGACAACAATTATAGAATGTAAATTTAAAAAAAAAAAATCGGTGGAAAATTTTGTTTTTGTAAACTTCTATTGTAACTTGTAAGATGGAAAGACGAAAGTTTTGTGAGTTGTACTATAATCTTATGGCGTAAGTGTGTGGCTGCAACAAACCACGACGATTTCATGATGATAAAACAAATTACTAGATGTTTTACAATACCTATAATTACTAACTTTTTTTGAATCTGAGACAATATATTATTCTCATTATGTTATTGAGTACCGTCCGTCCGCTTGTGTAACCGTAATGTAGGTAGGTATGTTATATTTTTAAAACTCACGTCAAATGCAGGCCAACAAAATTGTCTACCCGTTGGATTAATTCTCTCTCTAACAACACACTTTGACGTTGATACAGACTTTTCTACGTCATAGGTATTATAATCGTTAAAATATTACCGAAAACAATCTTTAACTAATTGTTTTTTTTTTAAATTTACAATTTGTATTTTAAAAACACAATAAGTAATGCGATAATATGTACAACAAACAATGTAATATAATGACAGAATGATAGGATAAGGGAGGCCATCCAATGATAGAACTCTTCAGATTTAAATTAAACATAATTTATTGATTTAATTTTTGATTTTTTTAAATTTTATATTGAATCATAGAAGATTACGACACCAGCGTCTAATAGTGTTATATAATAATATCAAACACCTTGTAGTTGAAGGGGTGGGGAGTTTTTTTTCCTGAGTGTGAATGGGATATGAAATGATTTTTCGGGGATTATTTTGACTCGCCATGTTGATGCCCAGATACTTATTAAATCGAGGTGGTTTTGAGCAGAATCAGCTATCTTAGGATGTGTGTCGGAAATAAGAATGGCTGTATCATCAGCATAGGTTGCGATAATTGTGTTAGGTAGCTTTTGTGGGAAAATCAGATGTATATATGTTAAACAGGTCAGGGGAGAGATCACTACCTTGCGGAACTCCAGCAATTACTGGAAAATATGGGGAGGTTGAGGTGCCTTGCTTAACTGAAAATGTTCGGTTGAGAAGATAAGAACGGATTAACAAATACTAAGGTGCTGGGAGGAAACTAATTTTTAAACTCGACACTCGTATAATCTGACATTTTTGTAGCCAATATTAGTTATTTCGTTGGAATTCAAAGATATTATTCATGGCCTTCACGTATACTTGAAATTTTTACGTAGGTACCTTTATTAATATATTAGTATATTTTATTATTTATCATGGCGTAATAATCTATCAAAATATTTAGATTCATGCAATCATGCTGAGCTACTGTCAATTTATAAAAAAATCCTATTCACACTGTTCTAATTAGTATCGTAAGTTATTAGTAACTATTGACCTATGGACTAAAAAATTAACAACAATAATATTGGTATAATGTTTATGCCGTTTATGGTATAGGTGTACATATATAATAATATTATAATGTTAAATATATGCCACTATACAAATTAATTATAAAATAAAAACGATGTATTCGGCAAATAATAATTCAACTCGCCTTATATAATTACTAATCAACAAACAGTACAATAAATTATAAATTATTAATAAATATATATTAAAATATGCTCAATAATAATATAGGCTGGTCTATCTCCGCTCTGTATCGTTTTTTTTTACCTTATAAGGTTAAATGATTTATTATATTGAATTCAAATTTAACATGTACATTAGTCAACTGCAGTAACTTGATCGATCACAAAATACACTGAAAAGTCGACATTTACTGTAAGTGCTGTAACGCGGTTACTTACTTAATTACTTTAAAAAAAATGTTTTTCCGAATTTGATAATATTACAATATTATTTACGATTAATTATGTATATATATTAATTATGAGTAACCTTGTATTAAATTTAAGTTTTTCCGCCGATAAAAAATGTATTATCGACGTATAACAATAAATTACATACCTACTGAAACTCTACTAAATTTATAATGTTATTTAATCACTATATTACTATACTGTTCGTCTTGTTGTTTTCAAATTGTTTGAACACCCAAGTATCCATACAAATATACAAACCTATACTAATATTAATGGAATAATGCATAAATGCATAATGATAATAATTTGTGTACTCAACAAAAATCGACTCGTTGTACCTAGTTTCAAAGAAACCGACCCAAAATTAAAATACTACAAAATAATGTAGATATTTATTTAAAGAAATTAAATATGGACGTTTGTGTTTTGCTATTCAGTTATTACAAGTATGGCATTTTCAATGTCTGTTTCGGTTATTGCATTTGAAAGTTGCTTTTATTTTTGAAGAAAATATTAATTTTTTTGTTCAGTGAATGCGAATTATTTTCAGTCTGATATTTAGTAACCCCGCATGCGCATTCTTAAGATGTCCACCGTTTTTCAAATAACTCAAAGGCCAGTCTTAATTTTATGCAAGATTATAGGCATCATCAACTTTTCTTATACATCGGGACCCGATGGGTTACTAATTAGAAACATAAATTTGAAATATACCTCATTTCTCGAATTGACGCGAATGATCGTGTTAATTATATTTACTTGCGATGTTCAAAAACGAGTCCTCCTACCGTATAAAATAAATATATTCAAATTTTGGGCCATCATCGTTTCAGCAAGAATATCACAAAATTGGATAATAAAGTATACACCTATATTATTTATTATTATAATTTATATTATATTATGATAAATCATTACGTGTTAATAACTCTATTATACCTATACTTATTTTATGAAACAACTTGGTAGTTTAAAAGTTCAGGATTACCTAAGCATTTCGGTTAAATTGCGTAACGATAAACAGTAGTATAATAATATATTTATCTTGCTTTAACTATAGTCATTTCCATAAACCTTATTAACTAATAGGCAAGAAGTGATTTCACCCCGAGCATGGAAACGTATAGAGGTCGTTTTTCGGTGTCCGAATGAATCAATGTATGGTAGTGCCAGGTAGTACTCTGTAGTACGGTAAGATATTTAGATATAATATATAGATAGTTGTTTATTGTTGTCAATACACTGGACAGTCTAAATCAATACGATATGTTTGCACGCCACTTGTTAGCTGTTGTTATACCCATTTCTTGGCTATTAGTATAAAGTCTATGGTTATTATTGATATTTCATAGAATTTCTAGTTATCACATACAATTACCTATATAGTATATTTAAATAGAAATGATATATTTTGTATTTTATATTTTATACTGTACTACCTAGCTGATCCTGCTAGCACGACGTTGCAGCAAAAAAATAAATACCTGTGGATTTACTCCGGGAACTGCACAGTTATTTGGGTTGTTTTTATCAAATAAATAAAATACAGGCTTACAAAATACATCTAATCATTTTATTTACCAGGTATTAAAATTCCTGTGAAAACGCGGTAAAAAAATTAAAATAGGCTTATTATCCGTAGTAATATATATAATAAATATTTCTCTTATTTTAATTAATACTATAATAAATATTATATTATAGAGTCCCATTGAAATATTATTTTAATTGAAACTTTCAACTTAAAAGATATAATATTGCTTAAAACCTCTCAAACATATCTACACATTGTAATTTATGTAGACAGACGAATTAATTTCACTGTATATAATATACTACTTAATAGAAATCAACAATGGTTTTAAAAAAAAATTGTTTGCATTGTTTGTTGTTTTTAAAGATTGATCAACGGCATTATAGAATACGATCAAAAACTAACATCCACCTTGGCGTTTTATTTCGGACACCGATGTCCGATCAAAAAAAAATGTTTGAACATAATTTATTGTTGTACGTTCGTATATTATGTCACTACATCAATGATCCTTGTGTGGATACTACCGTTGAAGGAGATAAACATTACGAGCATTTCGGTTTATTTTATTCGTTTATCTTACATTGCTGACACCGCCGTAGTAATTTCCACTTATTTTTACCTACGAAACTTGGAGTGTAGATTTCAAGCGTTGAACGATTTTTGGACACAACTTCCGGATGGATTGACGACGATTCCCGCCATTGCTGGAGGATGGTCGAACGCCGAAATTGTTACGATGGTGGATAACATTCGACGGTTACACGCTGAACTGTCCGACCTGTTGAGGATATTCAGTATGGGTTTCGGACTAATGCTCTTCGGATTCTTCGTATTCAATTACATCAATGTAATTTTCATATTTTTCAATTGGATTCATATCGATGAATATGAAACTACTTTTGAATTATTAACATACTTGGTATATTTACAAAATGCAATTTTTGTTATGACTGTTATCATCGCAGCCTCCCGTGTGAACGATACGGTAAGAATCGCAGACATAATAGACGTCGAGTGTTTATATAATATATTATACTACAAGGTTATTTAAAATGTATCTTCCGACGCTTTGTGCCTTATCTTACAAAGTTACGACTTCTTTTGGAAATATATTTATGATATTAGATAGTTACTAAATAATTAGCTAAACAATTAGGAGAGTCAATTACAAAGGAATGATTTTGAGGAACTAGATGTTGTTCATGTGACCAAGGGAAGCCATATAAGAAATGTATAGGAAGTACCGTTGATTAAGAAAGAAATATTATTATTTTATCTAATGTATTATATTTTATTGAAGTGAAACTTCTTTAGGCGCGGTAGCGTACGTAAGTCGAATTCATGAGCTCAGCCGTTGTGACCAAAAAGCGCCACGGGCGCTTATTCGACACTATAAGGGTCCAATCAGACGATCGGATTTTGCCGGCCAGTCGCCGTGTTCCTCCAAGAGTAGTAAATATTCCGGAGCCGGCGACAAACGTCACTGACTGTTTTCCACAATTTAACTCTAAGGACAAAAAACAGAAGCCAGATGCAGGCTGCCAAAATCCGGTCGTCTGTTCGGACCACATGGTTTCCATGGTAATAATAATAATCGTTTTGTCTTAGGTCTGTATAATAATAATCAATTTATTTCAATTACAATTGAAAATTTTTATTTTTATTTTTCCAATGCAAATTTAATATTTGACCGTGTTGACTGTGTTTTTTCATACCCTATAATCTATATGTAAAGAAGTTTCACTTTATCCACGCGTACCTACTATTGATCACACTCGATTATTTTCTATTCCTAAAACTGAAAATATAGAACTTGTTTAAGCTTTTGAAATCGAATTTGAATGAAAATATGAAATAATTTTGAATAATCCTGTATAACAACTTTTGCAATTTATTGTACTCCATTTTATCATGTCAAATAATTCTTATACGTATTGTATATAGTACTTACTACTTAGTAGTTAGTATTTACATAACTTTCAAAACGAATTAATGAAGTACAATAATATTATTTGTTTAGTGTTTATAATTTAATTTGTTCATATAATTTTAAGTAATACGTCCACGGTTCTGTCAAAACACACTTCTCGATATTCTGGTGCCTATGATTTAGTTGTCAGATTTCGAAAAATCACTGAGCCATATTAATAAGTGCCAATCAAGAGAGTAATGGTTATCGACTCATCGTTAACCACACAAATTATACCATCCCCTTGCGTGAAAACCTATGCCCAGAAGGTATTCTTATCTATATGAGACCGAGTATAATATAACCAACGATAGTTAATTTAAATCACCAAACTGTAACTATTTACAAAGCTAAAATGTATATTGATTGTCCGGTAGATGTATTCATATGCATGTATGTATGTTTATGTTATTATGTATGTTTACAGAAAAGGAAGATGATATCATATTTACGACTGATTAAGATTTCGATTTTACCCGTAGACGTAAAACTCCAAGTAAAATATTTATTAATTTATTTTATGATCATAACATTTTAAACATTATTTACACCTTCGCGGTCAGTTACTGCTGGAGTAAAAATTTCAATTTTGTTCAATTCTGATGTAATGGGTCACTATTATTATACTGCTATAGCAGTAATTTACAAAACCAACGAAATCGGGCATTACTGCTCATGGCAGCAATATTTATTTTACTATACAGTACTATTTTTAATGGTATAGACTGGCCCATTGCGTATACTCATATATTTGGGCATCACGTAATAATATCACACAATAATATCATTACAACAAACAACATGTTTTGTTAAGTGATTTTCTGAGGTAGATATATGAATAATATAAAAAAGTGAGGTGTCTGTGAACGTGTTTATATTAACTGTGTTATAAAATATTTCAAAAGTAACTAAACGAAAGTATAATTCAACTTCCCAACACCGAATAATAGTTTAATTACATTTATTTTTATCTTTTCAGTATTTACTAAATTATATTATTGAATACTTATCCTTATATTAAGTAATTGTTTTTAATTTTTATTATTACCATTATTAGGTGAAATTTTTTATGAGCCAACTATCAATTTTTGAAGTGGATAAAATAACGGCTTTTGGAATTTTCAACATAAATTTGAATTTGGTTATGTCAGTAAGTTGATATGAATATAATTTAATAATTATTTAAAATTTCAGACCAATCATTTTTGTTACTTAAATAATAATTATTTATAAATTGATTATGATTTATGATTTAAGACTACGTAATTGATTTTGCTGTTATTAAGTCAATATAAATATTAAATACCTACAGTAAAACCTGTCTTGTGCGGAATTGCACGGGACCAATAAAAATTTCCGTTTTTTGGCAGGTTTCCATACAGCTGAATAAAAAGGAAAATTCCTTAATATAGAGTTATAATATTCCGCACGATTAAGGTTGTAACATTTTCCGGCCAATAATAAAAAATATCATAGGCCTAAACTTAAACAAATCTTTGAAGACATTATGAGAGCAAATACAACGTACGAAACGACAGGTAAACTACGACTACGGTGAAAATCGGTAAAATACGATTGAGAACGTTACGGTTGAGAACGTTATTTTTGGTAACACGATTGAGAACGCTCGATATGTCTTTTTTTTTCCAACGTTGCCAAATGTTATCGAAAGATAATTTGAGCACGATAATCGGCTATCAAACGATAAATAACGTTATACCTTTTGGGCTGAACGATTGATGCGGTTGATATATAATATTTATCGGACGTTTATCGGATCTTATTTATAACTTAGATACCAGATATACGAGAGAATGACTTCGTCGCACTAGTCCTCGCATAAACGTAAGGTTAGGTTATGTTGGATTACGCTATCCCGCTATAACTAATACATAGGTACTTACTACTTAACTCATTTTTCATTACATTTTTTATACATAGGTATTATATTTTTTACTTTTTTTTTTTACATATTTATTACATATTTTTATAATACTACATTTTTAAAAAAATTTTAAACATATTTATATTACATATGACTTTTTTCTAGAATATTTGTTAAATAATAAATGATATGGCAACGTTGCACGTAAATTCGTTCTCAATCGTATTCTTTTTTGGGTTTTTTTAGGGTCAGTGGTAAGTTCTTTGTTATTTTTAAGTGTTCTCAATCGTTCGGCCAAAAAGGTATAACGTTCTCAATCGTTCGATAGCCGTGAAAATAATAAGCACTGATGTGTAGACAGGCGAGGATCCAAAGGGGGGATGCAAGGGGCCATGTCCTCCCCCGTAGACTCTGGTGAATTGTCTATTATATTTATTTTCGGCAGCCAATAAAATACATTGTTTCGCCGATAGCATTTCAAATGTATCCGTTTTTAATTTTATTTAAGATGCACTCCCCCCCCCGTAAATATGTTCTACATCCGCGCCTGTGTGTAGATTCAAGATAATATGTACTTATCTGTCGATACGTATTAATCGCTGACCTCAATAATTGTTTATTAGCAAAATAAATGTGGGTATCAAAAATATTTTTGTTCATTTTATGATGCGTTTTTCCATGTATATGAGGTATGTATGATTTGCGTAATCAATAAATAGCTTTCTTTGTTACGTTAGACAGGTTCCGTTTCGTCAAGGGTTTAATCCTATGTTCAATTATAGAAATCTGCCTGGACCATAATAAATTTCCACACAGAAAAGGATTCCGTCTTATCAAGGGTTCGGATAAGACAGGTTTCACTGTGTATATAATTTAATATTGTTTTTTTAAAACTAGACTACGTTCAGAGTTATCTGGTCTAAACTCGACGATACTGCATGTCTATCTTCACTATCTGCACTGGCACAGCTATCTCTACTCTCCCGCCCATAATTTACCCGAAACTATTTGACATAAGTGTGTTTGAGCCATGATATGAGCTAATTAGATCATTCGATATTTTGCACAATTCTAGAAATCGTAAAACTGAGTAGAGTAGGTTGTTGCTGAATTACCCGGTTTCGCCGCAGTGGTAACAGATTGATTTTTATTAATTTTCAATTTCCAATTTATTTAAAAATCACATAACCCTTGTTTTTTTCTCTCAACCCTAAGTAACTATAAGAATCTTTTTTCATAAACATAGTTTTTTATCCCCCTCTTAAATTACTATATAATTTTTTCACAAATCAACAAAGTTTTTTTAAAGAACATAGATACATGAAATATTTTTTTAAACGTATTTGCATTTTAAATACAATTATAGGGACCTTTATCAATATTATTTCTTTTCTACTCAGAAATAAGATCATTGAGATTTTATGGAACAATATAAAATACAAATTAATGAAAATATATGAGTACACAGAATACATAGGTAAAATTCTTGATATTTTTCTGACCATTTAAACAGTTTGTTTTTGGTTCCATTCTGGTGAGTATAATATATATGCACCCAACTTAAAAATATCGTTGTTTTTAATGGTTAAGTTTAAAAATTAAAGCAAAAATAACAACTATTGACATAAAAAAAAAAAAAAAAAATGTGTTTGAAAAATGTTTGAATTTGTTTTTAAATAGTTATTGAAAAAAGTATAAGAAATACTCTTTGAATAATTTTTAATTTGAAAAATTTATATTTGTATTTAATTTTTAAAGACAAATGAAAAGTATATTTTTGGGTGCTATGGAAGTTTCATGAAACGCAGCTGCGTAGTAGATTATTATCTATTCAAGCGGTTCTCAATCAATGGACTACGGCCCACTTGTGGCCCTCGGGCTACATAGTATTGGGACGCGGATGCTAGTTGAAGGCCTTAGCCAAGAGTTGGCAAATTTTTATCTATCCTGATTGGCATCATTCTAGAGTTTTCCATATGAGTTTATAAACATTTACATTTTTGGTTCGTTAAAATTGAAAGTGAAATTCAATGGACCAGAAATTCATTTGAATAAGACAACTAAAAACCATGAATATATCATCAATTGAAGAGGACTCGTTGATTGAAGTTTCAAGTGATTATATTCTAAAATTCATTTTTTTAAAACCACACCATTGATCCTGTTCTGGATAAGTGTTCGCCAAGATTATCCAGCAGTTGCTAAGGTTGCACTGAGTCATCTCAAATAAATGAGCCTTTAACGATGCAGTACATAAACACATTATAAAACAACAATCGTAGTTCGTACAACGATTTGAGCCCCAACACCCCTATGTTTATATTTTTTAATAATTACATAAAAATAAAGCGAATTCATTCTCTTGTATAAAAATAACGAGTTATCAATCATTATTCAGTTTTTTTATAGTTCAGTTGAATAGGTACAATAAACTTAATTTCTTTATAACAATTTTTTTTATTTTTCTTGTACTATTATAATTTCTGATATAACTATACGAGTACATTATATATCTTTTCGTCATATGTATGTACATAGGTGTTGGTGTATGTGTGTGCTTATATTTTACCTGTATATTAAGAAAGTGGTCTTCAAATTTTTTTTTAGACAATCAGTGTTCCGCAAAATTAAAGAAGTTTGGGAGTAATTACGTTAGGTAGTCAATTTTATTATTTCAAGGACTACAATTATTTTTTGTGTTTGATACACCTTTCAGTTGAATTCCGGGATAAGAATTATTAGCCTATGACATCTTCCATTGCCGTTGAGTTGGTAGATATACCTTTTGATTGAAATTAGTGTGAACTCTTGAGTCTAATATTTATTTTTTTAATATGGATAAACACAATTTAAAACCCATTGATTTTGTTTACTTTTTATTCAACAGATTATAATTCTTCTTATAACTGGACTTACAACATTGCTCCAGATGAAAAATCAACCATTCATGTTACATTTTTGGAACGATACACTACAATTTTATGCTAGTTTTACTAAAGAGTCTCAAAATACAACTAGTTTGTCTTAATAAATTAAAATCTAGTACCTACCTATTTACTTTGTATTCAGAATAATTAGTTTTTATTTATATATCGATTTTATTTTAAAATAAATGTCGTTAGTTCACTTAGGTTACTTAGGCGTTAAGTAGCATTCATTTCTTTCAAAATATTGTGAATTTTATGTTTGAAATACAATCATATTTTATCGTTTGGTACTTTAACAGGTGAATTTAAGTTATGTTATGTATATTTACTGAAATCACAAGGAACACGAACGACTACCAAAATAGTTTTAAACAATGTAGCCATGTAGGTAGGTAAAGTTTTAATCATTTTCATGAAGTGACCTATATGTTTGTATAAAATTAGATATTATGGATTAATTATTAAAACATTTGTATAAATTGCTTACCTTGTAATTATGTTACCAATAATTAAAATTAAACAAAACACTCATGATAAGCAATACAAAAATATAGCTTCACTATGCTTCAATATTATTTACAAAATAACTGGCCTAAACCTACAGCATTATTTTTGTTTTCGTGGATAAAAGCTATAACTTAAAAAGTTGTATCAATCTATTCTTCTCCCTATTTTATCTTTACTGTTAAGACATCTTATAATATTATTTAATGTTGACCCCCAGGCTCTTATGTTGCCTACTATTTTGTACACAAAATGATCAATTTCCAACTTTTTGGATTAACCCATAATATCATCAGGAGAAGCGTCTCCTACGAGTAATTACGTTATCCCAATGTACATCTTATAGACCATTTATTTTTATCTGTACCTAATTCCTTTATTAACGACTTGGGACGAAGGTTAAGTTTTTATGAATGATATTTACTGCTATTGGTTTGTATTTGAGCAGTGGTTTAACATTTTTCTAATGTTAGTAAAAAATATTTATTATCACTCAAAATAATTTTTTTCGGTAAAAATGGAAAATTATAGACCTATTTGTTTCTCAAAATATTTAAATTTCTGTCTCCACAAATTTGTACAAAGCGCGTGTTAAATATCGGCATAACTAATTTTTTTTATTATTATTCATTTATAATGTTGTTTGGTGTTGCTGTGACGTCTTTCAATCGCCGCACTTAACTTTTTTTCATGCAGGTGTAAAACTTATCTTGCACATTTTGGTAATAGCTGTGAAAATTTGTGTTAATAGTTACATACTAATTGGTTGTAAAAAAAAAAAAATGCAGCACTGGTACGTAAATAATGTTTTTTGATAAATTCCAATTTAATTTTCTTAAAAAGCACTATTATGCTTTAAAATAAAAAAAAATAAAAAAATTAGGTTTCAATAATTTGGATATGTAGTTATATTAGGTACCTGCACTGACGGAAATAATGGGATCCATTACGATTATTAAATTTTTTATTACATCAATACAAAAACGGAGGAATGTAAACAGCCACTCTGTAAAGAATACGCATTAAACACCAAGCAGAACGGTGTGATTAGATAAGTGTTATAAGTAGGCAATTAAATAGTAAGAACTAATAACTTAAAGTTAATCTTAATATTTTGAAAATGTCAGTACGAATAATATTGAAATTGTCATTCTTCATTTAAGTACATATTTTCTTTTGTCAAAAATTGAATTTAAATTGTTCTTATATATATTTTTGTATTTTTTGTTTCAGTTTAATTTAGTTATGAAAAACCCTGTATTAAACTTTAAATCTTTAGCCATAAAAATTGAACATTTTATATATATTTTTAACTACAAAATAATTTTGAAATTTTCTGTAATTTTGACGGATTATGTCCTAGTTTGAACTTCAAATGCTTACAAAAAAAATGTACCAATGAATTTTGGGTATTTTTAAGTAGCTATGATGAAAACTTAAGAGGAATCTTAAGAACCATGTATTACATTTCCAAAAATATCATATGAATAATGAATTAATGAATACTATTCTTAAATGCCCTTAAATTGCCTACCCAATGCGCCGGCTATATTGTTTACAATACTGCAGACTGAAAATAGTTTGGGTTTAGAAAACGCTCATGGACAGGAATTCACTTAAATAAATCATATATATATAATCCACTACGCACTAATAACAGCTACAGAATTAATTGGAAATTATTTTTCTTATTTCACGGAAATATCGGCATTGAATTCTATAAACACAAAAAGAGATTAGGGATATCGTGAACAATAAAAACTCACACTTGTTCTGATTAATTACAATAGTAATATTATTAAAACCAAAACCAAAAACAACACAAATTCATAGTGAATACTTACTAAAATGTTCATAGTTATGTCCTTTTTACTTATAATCGGAAATCAGATAAGAAACATGTGAATAAAATAGTATACATAATTTGTATAATATTATAAGAAATGATAATATTATACCTATACTATAGGTAGAGTATAGTTACATAATTACATGCACATAAAGTATACAAATTGAATGTACAATATGTGTTTGAAAAATAATGATGCTCCTGGTATTTTATCGTCTAATAAATCAAAATGCTAAAATGTAGAAATTGAAAATTTGAATAATGACAACTCGTGAGCCAGCCAATCAGTAACATCAGATGTGGCTGAATGCTACAATACATTGCAAAATGAAAATATCGGGACAGACGCAGACCTGGATCTATATCTTGTGTTTACCTATGTGGTTTTGGTATGCCAAATAATGAAATATATAATATAATTTATAAAATAATTAATCAACCAAAACCTATTTTGTTCGATAAATTACGAAAAATATTTCATGTTCACCCTGTATTGTTTTTCAATTATATTCAGTAAACAATAAACTAATATTATATGATAGAAAATGACCTTGTAATATTTTATTCACTTTTCATAAATTAATTTCTGTAGTCATTACTTTTTGGGACATATTTTTGTCAAAACTTTTATGAAATGTTTGTACTCAAATATTAATACTTATAGTCTTAGTTTTTAAACAGTAGAATCCCATTCAAGTTTCAAATCTATATTGATATAACCATTCTATAATTTAATAGTCATACACGATAGTTTTGGTTTAGATAAGGTATAAAGCTTTTAATTTATGAAAGTTGTGCTATAAATTATAATAAAGTTAATAATTATTACAAAATTAGGTGTTCAGAGTTATGTAAGCCAAATTTTGATTTTAAATTTTAAATGAAATTATAGGTATAATAATATGTTATTACTATAAGTAATAATACAATGAAAATATTGAAGTAAGAACTAACATAAATACATATAAAAAGGACAAATTATTAGATAGACCACCTATACAATTAATCTACATCAAATCACCAAAAATGTTTTGATCAGAAACAATAATAATAAATAATAATCATTTGACTATCTGATGGAAAACTAATGATTGGTAAAAAAACTTTCTTTTTGGAATGTTTGTGTTTTAAGTTATTTAAAATCTTAGAGTGCAAAAATACGATGTGAAAAATGCATGACTTGTCAAGCATATCTGATAGATTTTTCGAAATATTGGTGTAAAATAATAAGAAATAACTAATATAAGAAGTACATATACGTTGTGAACCGAGTTTTTGAACTAATATTAAAGTAAAGATATTATTGTTGGTCATGCGTGATTGTGGGTGGCTGAGGTAATCATATTTTAATAGATTAACTTCTTAAATTCAAAACGTTTTATTTTTGATCTGTTGCAACAGAAAAACATGTATTATCATTTATACATTTGTGATTATAATACAATAAAATAATAATAATAGGTAATAAAAATAAAAGTAAATGTTATTTAATACAAGAACAACATTTCAACAATGTATAAAATAGGCACGTAAGAATAATGCTTTGTTATCACAGCCATCGCGTATAGTAACAATATAATATTGTAATCGTTTTGAATACAATAATTACTACCGTAATAATAATAAAATATGCACATAAACTATACTATACTTATCATAGAAATGTTTTCAAACGATATAATATATCCGTACGAGCCAAGTAAAATGCAAAAATAAAAAAAAATTATAAACAATAAAAATATTCAGTCGGATTATTTTTGTTTTCTTATTAAAGGAAGAGCAGGGTCAGAATCAACGACGTGGTTGTGACGGCGATGTAGGCCCCAAGATCGGAGGAACCGGCGGCAGCGTTGGTGTCACCGTCGGCGAGCACCTCGTGCACTGGACTGGCCGAGATGAGCGTGCTGAGACTCAGGTCAATCATGACCCGGGGACTGGACGTCTCCACCAGCGTGGACAGCTTCTCCGACTCCCTGATGCACGCCTCCAGTTGGAGCCTGGTCGGGTTCCGGACTGTGGACTCGACGAGCACCAGCAGGTCTTGGTACATGGTCAGGTGGCCGCGGACTACGCACTCGGCCACCAGCACGTGTCTGTCCAAGGCCCGGAGGATAGACTTCGTGTTCAACGCGTTTATCGACGGCCTCTTCAGTGTGTGCATCACTCGGTCCACTTGTTTTTGACTGGAAAATATACATTCAAAGCATTAATTGTTATTTCGTCATTTCGTGTGTATATGTGCCATAATGCTACGTCATAATATAATAATCTATCCGAGACTACTGCAGTGATCACTTCTGCGGTGAACTTCTTAAAATCGTTTTCACGACCATTAATTTAATATCTGAAGTACGGAATGATTTCAAAATGTTGAATATATAACTCGTAAAATATCGTAGTTATTTTTATATGAGCAAGCAATGTTTTAAAGATCAGAAATAAAAAAAACCGGGGAACTCGATATAGTAAGTAGGCCGTAGGTGATGAGTGTACATCGAGGCCGTAACTGTACGGACAGGCTGTGTATATATGTATACTGCTTTTTAATTGCTTTTTTATTTCTATTAAATACTTCTTATATTATGAGTCTATATGGAAGATTACATGTATTTATGTTTACGTTTGTCTGAATTAAGTAAAATAAACAAATAACAAACGATTTTATTGAAAACTGGAGTTGTGTAAATAATACCCGTTTTCCCATTTTATTTTTTATTATTTCTTTCAAATTATAAACGAAAGAATTGGGAACCTAAATTGTATCCACTTTTATCGTTAA